ATTTATTAATATATTATAAGCTATAATATATTAATATGAAATCATATTATTTAATTAGTATTGATCAAGAATTAATTCGGAATTAATTTAGTGATAAAAAAGAAACTAATTAAATATGGACTCTTATATACATAGAATAGGCCAATGTTCATTTAGGATGGGCTAAGCTTGCATGGAAGTCCATGGGTAGTCCATTGAGCTTTTAACCCATGGATCCTATGGAAATGAAAGGTCATGGGTATTAGGGTTTACATGGATGTAACCCTAATCCACCATACTATATAAAGAGGTCTTTGGCACATGAAATGGCACTAGTGTGTGAGATAACAAGAGTAGGCCGATTTCTAGAGTGCTTCATATTCTCTAAAAGTCTTCCACGTTGTTTTGGGTGATTTGTGATTCCACTTGAGACATTCACATTATTGGCGCTAGGTTCTTAAAGCTCCAAGCAATCAACCACAAGGAAAGGTATGTCATTCTACTAGTTTTATATTACAAGTACCCCATGATATGCTAGTTAGGATGAGAACCTTAGAAAAATTAAACTTTGCATGTATAATAGAGAAAACATAGATCCAAAGTTTCTAGGGTTGAATGCACATCATAGGTATGTTAGAATGCTCAAAACCCTTCAAATTCATCAAGGGAAAAGCAGTCACCTTGTATTAAATTCTTATTAATATAGTAAATACTTCCAATTTTGAAAGTAATAATCGGTCTCATACATGTTAAATTACAATTGCTTGATTTCTAACTATCTAACTCAATGATTGTATGTATTTATTCTCAACCTTACCCCTTTTTATAATGTTATTGATTAGATTTACTATAACTAAGTTTAAATTGCAGAGATTTTTACTTGAAAGTGATGAGCATTAGTTGATGTTTTTATTGAAGCTTAAGGATTATGCAAAACTCTAAATCCCTTAGTGGTAATATCCTACATACAAAATAATTGATTATTTCGACAAAACATATTTTTCATTAAATTTGATAACAAATTTGTTAAATTAAGCATATTTTTATGATTATAAATTTATTTTCTCTGCTCACTTGTACTTATCATCTAGAAGATGAGAAAAGATTAACCATGACTATATTGAAAAATGCCAAAAAGATCTTATTAGTCATACCTTTCTGACATGATCTTCAAATGTTCTTTGCTTCATTCTTTGGTTTTTATTCATTTTTGTGTATTTGAATTGTTTCTTCAAGAAACTCAGTTTTCCATTAATTTTGATAACAAATTTGTTGAATTAAGCATAAGTTTATGATTATAAATTTATCCATTTTTATTGTTAAATCAAGTGTAAATGAATTTGAACAATTGTTAAATTTCATATTCTATAATGTAATTTATGCACTAATTAATCAAATAATAGTACATGTCCAAGTGGTCGGGTATCTCCAAGACAATAAACAAACATGTAAATTATAAGCAATTTCATAATATTGCAATTTTTTTACTGGCTTTAAATGAACAATTACTTCTTTCACTTGATTTAGATTCTTGATTACTCATATAGGGTTGTAATAAAATAAATTTTTGATAAATTGTTCAACGAAACCTTAAAATTATGAAATTTGTTGGAAATTTGGTTATATGTCAATTAGTGTTCTTTTTGTGGTGCCATGTTTGTTGATTTGACTATGTATAGTTCATTTGAAGTTCCATTTCTCTACAAGAATGTTAATGTTCACATCCAAGTGGAAACAATCACAACTATAGAGACCTTCTAGCGGTCTATAGAAGAATCATAGCGGCTCTATGAAGGATTTTGCTGCATTTTCAATGAAGGATCACTCCGTCAACATTCGTTCTCTATAGTTCTTTCTCCTATTTTCGATATAGATGTGTGTCACAACAATAAGGCAGAAGAAGGTGTTAGTGACCATTAAAGATGAAAATGTAATATATAATTTAAGAATATTATATAAAGTGTAAATTGTAGATTTGTGATATTTATTTCTATGAAAAAATATGTTGTTTGATTGCTAGGTTACATATCTGGGGTTTTTTGTTTGTAATTTGATTTTGACAAGTTTAATCTAAATTTGATAATTGAAGCAGGTAGGAAAGATATGTGCTAACGATTTTGAATTTGTATTGCCCTCTAAAACCAACCGTAGGTCTTAGCATTTCCCTAAATTCAGCTACAAGAAGTCATAAATGCACTTCTTGAATCAATCATCTAAAATAAATTTCATTTGTTAGTTATATGTAGTGACCAAAATACAAGATTTATGAAAGTTAATTATTATTTATTAGTGTTAACCTTTGGCAAATTATGAAACTAATATTATATTTTTGTTCATAACATGTTTTTTTGTAATAATTTTTTTGTTCGGAAGATATGTATATGTGATTGGGTGTTGCCTGAAAAATCATATTTTAATTCTTATAAGGAAAAAATACTTTAGCAATTGACCAAATTACAATGTTTGAATTTGATGTTTATGGTTATGGAAATTCACTTTATTTGTAATGTTTATCGATTTTCTTTGTCGAATTTAACGTTGCTGGTACATATAACAATTTATTATTACTTTTGGTTTTACAGGACCAATATGAAAAGAATCATATGAGCCTCCATGGGGGTTTTAGTACACCAAACAAAGTCAATTCATGAAGCTACTACACAACATGTTTTAATGAAGAAGTCGCATTATGTTGTGATAAATCATTTTTGTTAAAATTACTGTATTAAAAAACCAAATTACTCTAATATAAATATTATTTATTTTTATTTAATAAGTTTGGTTTAAAAACTCTAAAAATGAATCTAACTAACATTTTTTTTATTAAAATTTCATCTTAGACAATGCCACATGTTGATATGTATTTAATTTATATGTATTTAATTTATGTTTTCCGCGTTTAACGACGAGTCATAATCTAGGTAATATACATTGTTTTAGTATTTACGTACTCGTTGGTGTATAGATATGCTCCTTGAATTTTAGAATTTTTACTCTAACCAGTAACCATCATAAATCATAAATTCATAATATATAAGAATGTTTATTCTTTTCGTGATATATGGATATATTTTGCAATAAATTCATAATATATAAGAATGTTTATTCTTTTCGTGATATATGGATATATTTTGCAATTTCGGAAATTTTCCAAATTCTTTCTGATTTTTTAAGGCTGTGATTATCCCGTGAAAAATCAAATTTCAAATATGAAGTAGAAAATTCAAACAATTCATCTATGTAAGATGACGTCAGCGGTGACGAAGTTTTTCTCGGTGATATTCAATCATATATCCCCCATTTACACACTCAAATTTCAAGCATATCAATGGCCACCGAAATCACCACCGTCGCACCCACCCAATCTCAGCCCCTCCAACTGCAAGACAGGGTTGCAATCGTCACCGGCGGCTCTCGCGGCATTGGCAGAGCCATCTCTCTTCACCTAGCATCCCTCGGCGCAAAGCTCGTCATCAATTACCGTTCCAACTCCACTGAAGCGGATCTACTCATCTCAGAAATCAATTCCAATTATCCATCTGAATCTCCACGAGCTGTTTCTATCAAAGCCGATGTATCTGATCCGATTCAAGTGAAAGCCCTCTTTGATGCAGCTGAATCCGCCTTCGATTCCCCATTATATATCCTCGTTAACGCCGCCGGGATCCTTGACTCCTCATACTCTTCGATCCCCAACTCCTCCCTCGACGAATTCGATAGGACGTTCGCAGTGAACACGCGAGGTGCTTATTTATGCTGTAAGGAAGCGGCGAACAGGTTGAAACAAGGCGGCGGAGGGAGGATTATTTGTCTGACGTCCTCGATGGTGGTGGCTCTGAGACCTGGGTTTGGGCCGTATGCAGCGTCTAAAGCGGCGGTTGAAGCTATGGTGAAGATTCTGGCGAAGGAACTGAAAAGGACGAGGATCACGGCGAACTGTGTAGCTCCTGGGCCTATTGCGACAGATATGTTTTACAAAGGGAAAACAGAGGAGATGGTGAATATGGCAATTGAGGAGAGTCCTTTGGGTAGATTGGGGTTGCCGGAGGATGTTGCTCCGTTGGTTGGGTTCTTGGCTAGCGACGCCGGAGAGTGGATTAATGGTCAGATCGTTCGTGTCAATGGAGGATATGTGTGAAGGGTGTTTGCTAATTTTGTATCTTTGTTTACAAATTACTTTTGATTTCATGTCACAGTGATATAATCATATAATTGAAAAAATGGCAAGGAACATTAAAAGGACTTGGTCAATATTTATAGACTAAATTTGATCATTGTAGTTTATAAACAAAGAAAATAACAAATTTAACCGATGTTCTTAATCACTTTTTAAAAAATAGCTAAAAATTGAGAAAAATACCATTTTACCAACAAAATCAAAGTTTCATGCCTTCCCCTGTTATTTCACTTAACGGGCCATGATTTCACAAACTCATCTATGATTTCACACGAAACTAACGATAGCATATGACATCTACGATTTGCTTTAAAGTCATGAAAGATTTTACAAGTTTTTTAAAGCCAAGGGTATAAGCCTTTTAATGCACAAATGATTTTGGGGTTTTATGAGACGAAATCATAAGTGGCGTAACCATTTATATAAGCCTTTAATGCACAAATTGAATTGATTTGTATAATCGCAAATGTTCATGCCTTCTGTGATTTTGTCTTTTCATTTTGCAAAAAATGGTGCAAGATTGTTAGAAGGAAATTCGTAACCATTAGAACGAATTCATCTACCTTGAAAGTGAAAAATATGATTGAAATTTTTTTTTAAGAGTTTAAATATACTAGGCTAATGGGCCACAAAATTGTAGCCCATTAAAGATAATTGTAGGTAAGAGTTCGATATATGCATCGACAAAATTGGGGTTTCGCTTAATTTTTGGCTAGTTTTGGAAAGTGGTTAAGAGAATTGGGCTAAATTTGTAGTTTTCTCTTATAAATAGTCGCGAGTTTAGTCTTTATATTATTTTTATTTTGACACAGTTGGTCCTTATCGCTTTCAAAAACTTGCACGAATTGTTTTTATGGCTTGCTCCATTGTTTTTTTGTCGTTTCGTGTGCACATATGCCCCTCATAAGAAGGTAGTTTCATCATTTTGTTTTTACCAAAACACACTTATAATTAGTATTTATACATACAAGAAAAAAATTAAAAACCATTTTATCTTCCAAGCGTCTCCACACACTTTCCTCATAGATTCTTCGACTTTCTTCTTAGATCATAACAATCCTAGTATTATATCATTAGACCTAGGGCGTTTCCGTATACCCACCCAACAAATCATCATTTTGAACTGAATATGTGAAAGACCCACACTTTCATATTTAATAATTGTTACTCCAAATCCTGCTACATGCATATTCACAAATAATATTTTACATTGATAACTTGTTTACAAACGGATTCCTTGTCTATTTTGCATTGGCCCGGATGATTCCTTCCACAAACGCGATATGAAGGCATTTGAATAAAAAAAGATTGTGATCTACCACGACCACGAAAAGCACTCTGAGATTGCACTTGCTTGTTAGGTTCAGATCGAACGAATTGAACTGGTGGAATAGAGGGAACAGGAACAGTTTTTTCAGTACGTGGATGCTTTGGAACAGTAAAAGTGGCACCACGTATTTCTAAGTCATGCTCGCGTTTTCGAGCATACTCAACGGCTTTATCGAATGACAGAACATCCCGATTGACAACAAAATCATGGGTTTTATGCCGTAGTCCCTCCATGAATAACTGAATTTTCTCGTCTTCAGTTGGAATATACTTTATAGCAAACCTTGCTCTTTGAGTAATCTGAGTTTCATACTCATTCACAGTCATTCCTCCCTGTTTAAGATAGAGGAATTCCTTCTCCAATCTCCTCCTCATGTCTAGAGGACAATACTTCTCTAGCAAACGATTTTTGAACATCTCCCAGGATAAATTCTCCTGGTCATACCCGTTGAGAGCTTCATATGTTGCTTCCCACCAGACTAAGGCTTCTCCGATGAGCATTGCAGAAGCATAAATAGCCTTGTCTTCATTATCCACATGAGAAATACGAAACACTTTCTCTGTGTTCTAGATCCAGGTAAGAACAACAATGGGATTAAGAACACCTGAAAACTTCGTAGCACCACTACTCTTGAAATCTTTGAACGAAGGACACTTCACCTCCCCTTTTGAAGATTCTCCAGTGACTTTCTCTTTTCCTTTATCACCACTCTTTTTGTGTTCTTCGAGAGTCTGCCGAATAACACTAGTAAGTTTACCCAATAGTCGCTCCTCACGAGGAGATACTGGAGTATTTACTTCATCAGGTTGAGGACCTCCACCCATCTCAGGGGTATGGCTACTTACCTGTTCAGCTATTGCTCTGCAATATGGAGCAACATTGTATTTTAGAATATTAGGGTTTATCATTACCTAATACTTTACTTAAGTCTTTCCTAAGGTTTGTATCCATATAATTACAATGAATCGGTTCATATATTGAACTTCCAATAGTTTAACTCTAAATACCAATCTGAGGCATTTAGTTCGCTTAAACTACTGCTCTGATACCATTATTTGAAAGACCCACACTTTCATATTTGACAATTGTTACTCCAAAACCTGCTACATGCATATTCACAAATAATATTTTACATTGATAACTTGTTTACAAACGACTAGATACAAACCGACTATTACAAAGTGTTATATATTAC